TTTGAGCTACTGGCATTAAAGTTGTGAGTGAGCAATCCGGCTACTGCATAAATTAGTTTGCTCTGGAGCCATCCTTCCTGAGCTGAGACAAAAATGTGTGAGCCGGAGGCTAAAAAACTGTGAGCTAGCTCACACTAACTCAGCTTAGAGGGAACACTGGCAGTGTTCCCTCTAAGCTGAGTTAGGGTGAGCTAGCTCACAGTTTTTTAGCCTCCGTTGTCTCGGCCCAGGAAGGAGGGCTCCAGAGCAAACTAATATATGCCACAGCCAAATCACTCGCTCACAACCAATGTTCCCTCTAAACTGAGTTAGGGTGAGCTAGCTCACAGGGTTTTTTAGCCACCGGCTCACACATTTTTTGTCTCGGCCCAGGAAGGAGGGCTCCAGAGCAAACTAATATATGCCACAGCCAAATCACTCGCTCACAACCAATGTTCCCTCTAAACTGTGAGCAAAAATTCTACTTTGTGAGCTGCTGGCATTAAAGTTGTGAGCATCAATCAGTTTGCTCTGGAGCCATCCTTCCTGAGCTGAGAGAAAAATGTGTGAGCCGGAGGCTAAAAAACTGTGAGCTGGCTCACACTCACTCAGCTTAGAGGGAACACTGCTCACAACTTGAATGCCAGTAGCTCACACGGTAGAATTTTTGCTCACAAGACTCCACACCTTAGAGGGAGCGTTGCCTGGGACCTGTCTGGAGTCCTAAGAACAGGAGCGCAAACCCGGGGCTGACCAGGCTGGAAGAGGGGGCCAAGCAGATGCTGTGGGGAAATCGGCAGGGCACAGAGCTCACTAGGGCAGAGTTTCTGTGGGATGAGCTATTGTCGCCAATCTCCAGGTGGGGAGTGGAGGTACCCTGGAATTACAGCATCTCCAGACTGCAAAGGGCAGTTCCCCCTGGAGAACTTGGCTGCTTTGGAGGGTGGATTCGCATAAGAAGGGCCCTGCTGGATCAGACCAGTGGGCCATCTAGTAGTCCAGGATCCTGTCTCACCCTAGGGTTTCCCAAGTCTCCCCTGGCTGGCCACCAACAGAGGATGGGAGGTCAGGTTCCTAGATCCAGGCTGGGAGACTCCTGGAGATATAGGGATGGATCCCGGGGAGGATAGGGACCTCAGTGGGGTACAATGCCATAGCGACCGCCCTCCAAAGCATCCATGTTCTCCAGGGGAACTGGCCTCAGTAGTCTGGAGATAAGCTGTAATTCCGGGGGATCCCCAGGTCCCACCTGGAGGCTGGCATCCCTGTCTCACACAGGGGCCAACCAATTCCTTTGGACCCCCAATACCAGGTCATAGAGGCCTTCCCTTGATGTTGCGCCCTGGCTCTGGGATTCAGAGGTTTAGTGCCTCTGAATGTGGAGGTTCCCCTCACATTCACCACAGCTAGCAGGCCCATAACAGGATTTTTTTGGTTTGGGCATATTTGTTTCTTGCGGGGCAGCCATCGTGTGTGGCTGAATTGATACAGGAGTAATTAGTGTTTTTCAAAGTTTTCCAAGACATAATTTTGTGGGGCGTGGCTGTAAATTAAGGGGGGGTAGCCCTTAGATGCCCCACTGTAGCCACGGGCCCAATAGGCATTGACAAACTTATTCTCCATGGATCTAATCCCATCTATCTATGTAAAAGAAAGTCCCCCCACCATAAAATCAACGCCCAGACCAAACCACTGGACCTAGAAACACGAAATTCAGGGAGAGCGCTCCTACCATGATGTAGGTGCTCACTAAGTTGTCTGTCAGGTGCAGCAGTGGTTGCAGGGTGCTTAAAGCCACGAGGGAGCCCGCCCCAGCAGTAACGCCTTAGTGATCCTGCTGGCCCTGCCTCCACAGTGGCTTCTAATACTCCTCCCCCCTCCTACACTGGACATGCAGCTGCCTGTCAGATGTACCCTGTTTTCCCAAAAATAAGACCTACCCCAAAAATAAGCCCTAGCAGGATTTCTATGCATTTGTGGTATAAGCCCTAGTGTGTCTTCTTGAGAAAAAATAAATATAAGACAGTGTCTTATTTTCGGGGAAACATGGTAGGAGAGGAGGTGGGATGCTTACAGCTGCCGAGGAGGTTTGCTCAGCAAGATTGCCTTAGCCCTGCTGCTGGCCCAGCCTCCCTGATGTCTTTAAACATAATCCCCCCCCCCAACACCAGACAGGCTGGGGTCTGTCAGGTGTAGGAGCAGGACCAGGGCACTTTAATCCATCAGGGACGCTGCCCCAGCAGGATCACCTTAGCGGTGCTGCTGGCCCAGCTTAGCCACACTCCCACCCACAATGGAAATATACTTAAAATTTGTAAACTGGTTTCCTTTATTAGGTTATTTAACTTTTTTTTGGCCCTTACAAAGGGGATTTTTTATTGCTTTTCTATAATTTGCAAAGAAAATAGGGAAGGGAATCTGATATCTACGGGAGAAAGGAAAGTTAACCACTAAAAACCCAAGTAGTGATCATTACATAATCTTATAAATTGCTTAATCTAATCTATTAATAATACAATGATCTTGAATGTTTAAATCTAGCCAATGTTCCCCCAAACCCATTATCAATTACTGTTTAAGACAATCACAACAAAATCAAACTTAAATGTAGCTTCTTAAAGGTGGAATTCAGAGTCCCTCAGCATCTCATTTCTTGGCATTTCTTTTCCTCAAATCATAATCTATTTTGGGGGCCACAGCCCCCCGAATCAGAGTCCTCCTCGGTAGTTGAAGAAGAGTTTTCACCACTTTATTTATCCTGGTCATCATCTTTGTCATCTTCTCCGGACCTTCCCAGTTGCTGCTTCAAGAACTCATTTGCTTTCTTAACAGAGTCAATTCATTCCTTTTTTTCATTTATTCTGAAGAGTAGGCCTTTGGGAACCAGCCATTTGTACTGTATATTGTTCGTTTGTAAAAACAATGCCAAGTCTTTTAATTTCTTCCTCTTTTTTCTAATTTTAAATGGAATGTCTTTTAGTATCTGTATAGTATTACCGTTTATTTTCAGGGGTATTCCTGATGTTGTTTTCAAGATTTGGTCCCTCACATGTCTTTTTGAGAATCTAACCACTATTTCTCCAGACAGGTTATTTTTCTTAATATACTCCGAATATGAGCTATAGACCACATCCATTTCTCTATGAAGATATTCCGTTTTCAAATCTGCCACTGGTGCAAGTATATCACCCAATACTTGTTTTAGATTCTCTCCTTTTGTCTCAGGAACCCCTTGGAATCTCAGGATAAAGCTTGCCTTTTCCATTTGTAGTTGCAAAAGTTGAGATTCATCAGTAATTCTTTTGTTTTCCAACTCCTGTACATGCCTTTTCACCTTTCTAGACTTGGCATTAACTTCCTTCAGTGTTTCTGCTGTTTGCTCTGTTAATTTCTTAGTTTCATTCAGTTCCAGTTGTTGTGCAGCAAAGTTCTGGTTCAAAGTAGTCAATTGCTGCTTGATGTTTGTCGTCTGGTCCAGCATAGGGTGCAATGATTCGGCTAATAGCGGAGAAAGCTCGTTGGTAGCTTCCGGTCTCGGACTTCTACTTCCCGAAGGAGGCTTAAGCTGCGATGGTTTCTCTTTCTCACCTCTCCGCCCTGCCATTTTTGAGGATTGTTTACTTTTAGAAAAGTTTGCCACAGTCTCTGTTTTCCACCAGAACGCTTTGCTGTGCTCTTGTGTGCTTCTTAAATCAGTTCTATGGCTTTTACATCCAGCGCCCTCTTTTTAAAAAGATCTGCTTGGATATCGCGTCTGGGAATTCCCTCCCACGCTCGCTTAAATCAGAGGGGCTTTCTAGTCAAAACTCGGTGTTTTGCTTTTACCACGACTCACAGTTCATCGTTGGTCCTAGGACCCGCCTCAGGTACGTGTAAAACACCCGGTCAGCGACTTTAGAGCCATACGGTCGCATAGAGGCAGGACCTTCAGGGTGGAGGAAAGCCTCGATTCCCGGGCATCGAGCCGGAAAAGAGGCAATCCCTCAAAAGGCTAGGAGTCCAAACACAAGGGCTCCGGGGGCTAGCAGACAATCGCACCCCCTCCTATCCGCTAGCGTTCGGATTGCGACCCTGGGAGCTCACCAGGATCGTGTCTGCTATCGTGCTGCCAAAAACCGGAAGTCCAGGTTATTTAACTTCTCACAATGCAGGTTCTAGAAAATTGGTCCATATGAACTTGCTTAATATCTGATTGCTCGGATGGTGTTTTGAATACGTAGTTCTAAATGTAACAGAAATGAGACGCATTTTTGTTTTTAAAAGGGGGGGTATGCCCTCCCTCCCAAATTCAATGCCTAGGCCAAACCCCTGCACCAAGAAACCCAAAATAAGGGGAGTGCATCCCTACCATGACGCCAACTCCCCCTCATGAAGAGATTTCTGAAAAACATGACCCCTAAGGGGGTAGAAATGGGGCAAAATGTGTCTCCCCAATTATTTTCCATGTGCCTGGCAGGCTGCTGCCTCCTTGCCCGCCCCCTCCCCCAGTTGGTCAATTGTGTAGTTCAGAGTTCTGAGGTAAAACCTGCCTACTTGCACCCACCTTCCTCTGATTGCTCAGCTGTGGATCTCAATGTTCTGAGGTTAAAACACAGTTAGAAGAGACTGCAGACAGTTGAGGAGAGTTACAGAAATCAGCGATTCAAGACTCCTGAATAGACATTTTTCAAAAAAGCCAGCATGGCAACTGAGTTAATGAATGTT